AAGCTTTGGTTACTTCTTGGCTTGTGGCTTTTTTTGTTTTTGGTTTAAAATCAAATGAAAAATGGGAGAAACAATTTTTTTTTTAAATTGGGTTAGTCAAAAATTTATAAGAGTAAGAAGAAACTCATAATGTCAAGAATCATGTTGAAAGCTACCCTTTTAATCCTTCCTTCAATAAGACTTGGTGAACTTCTAAGACTTCTATTGATAAGGAAATTGGGTGATACTAATATCATGTGATAAATATGCTCATTGAAATTTTTGTCTCTTCATTCTTTGGCATGTCTCATCTCTCTCATCTGCCTCCTCTGGACCTTTGTCTGCCATCTTTCTTCTGCACCTTTTAATTTTTTTTTAACCTGCTACTAATCTGATTCTCCAATGCCTTTCTCAAAATCCAAATTACATTTAAAATATTCCACAACACTATTTCGCATTCCAACTCAAAAAATCTTGTAAAGTGTGATGATATCATGGGGGAAAATACCCCAGCTGATTTTAGTTTTTAATTACTATAATATTTAAGCAAAAGAAAATACCAATTTCTGCCTTGGTAGCTGTGGTCATGTATTGGGCCTGCAGTTTTCTAATATCCTTGGCGATTGCTTTTTGGGAAATCCCTTTCATTAAGGAGTACAAATTAATATTATAAAAGTTCTAAGAATCCCAATGACAATTTGTACCTATATTAGTCACCAAAAACCAGTAAGTAGGTGGTAAGAAACCACAAGAACTGAACAAAAGGATGTGTTTGGTGTTTGGTGAGTATTTCCATACACTAAGCAAATGGCTTGAGGTGACCAAAGAAAAAAACAGAAATAATTTTTAAATAATTACCTACCTTTTCAGTTATTTTATTTGCTCACTCCCCCCCCCCCAAATGGGAGTTCCTTCACCATTAGAGGAAGAAACTTTCTCATTGCTTTCCCAACCATCCCCCAAATAAAGTTAGATATATAGATATAGTATCTAGTTTAAAATATTAAGCAAGGAGAAAGTGATATAAGATTCATGTCTGATTTAAAAGGGAACAAAACAGAAAAAGGCAAAATGATAAGGAAAATAAAATCATAATGACTTCTTCACCCTCCTGCAGGGAGTTTAAATTGATCAGGGGGAGGCAGGCGGTGGAATGTCAAAATCCACTATGTTGAACTTTTTTTGCAATTTCTCTGTGAGAATTGAATCATTGGGTCACCACCAGCTGAGGTTGGAATTGAAATTAGCAAGATTGACTGCTTGCACAAATCTCATTAGGGTCCACTGATGGCCCTAGTGTCTTCTGTATCTATCTGCAACCAAAACTGATTTCATTTCAAGCCATTTGCTTTGGATAAGGATGACAAAAGGCAGCAATTGAAAAACAACAACAAAACTCTGAAATGACTATCACAGGCAATGGAGCAGTTGCAAAGAAAAGAACCGCAAACCAAAGCAGTAACTTACGGTAGCTACTTTCGCTATCGCTGGCATTAGAAGAAACATGTTCTGCAAGAACAGCACAGCAAATTAAAGAGATACCAAGCATTGGAATGCAGCCAGAACGGAAAGAAATACATGCATGCAAGGCTACTAGAAATGTGAGCAAAAGGCAAGTCAAAGGCTGCAGAGTAGATTGCATTAAGAAAATTCAGGTAAGATAAAGAAGATGAAAACTTTATCGCCATTTTACAGGAAACTGCTGCTTGATTGCTGTTTCCTCCTTTTAGCAAACAAGGAAAGTATCTTTAATTAAAAAATGAATGTCAACCTACGCAATTTTCTTTTTATAAATACTATATGACCCATTCCTACAGCTGGATTTCCAGATTCATGTTACAAAGGCCAATGTGTCTCAACTGAATATCTTCTTAACTATAAATCCAGGAGCTTCAGGTATGCAGGCACTGTTTTCTTGCAGGCGTTTCTCTATTTGGGCCTTTAATTATTCTCTAGGAACACTGAATCACCAATTGATCCCTGGAATTTCTTGAATTTTGTTTCTACTTAAATACTTCATAAACTAATTCTCAGGCTGAAAGGGAGGCTTGAAGATCTTTCCTGTTTTAGTGAGTGAATAGAAAAATCTTGGAAGAAAGAAGTCACTGAAAATGTTTTGTGAATTAGTTCAGTATTTTCTTGTTTTTATAAGAGCTTTGCCTGGATAGCTATTGGGTTTTGTGGGTACAACTAGGCAATCGTTAAATGGCCTGTTGCTCAGGCTGGTTCTAGCATGAAGTCTGTCATTAATTCATTCTGAATAATGTGCTCATAGAGTGACATTCCGAATTGTTTTTTCATACAAATACAGCTTAGCTAACATAGTAGGGATGTGTGTACTGGTTATGTGCCAGTATTAGCACTTTCATTTCTGAAGTTATTTGCTTTTATCTGTACTATTTAAATTATAGATGATCAAATCATCAACATTTTTGTATATCACTTTAGTTAAGTATGTGAGATTATTTGATTTCTGAAGCTCATTGGTAATAACTTCAGCTTTAAAAAAAAATTGCCCTGTCGTACGATTGACACGAAAGAGGAAAAAGTATAATATTATGTTCTAATAGTGAAAAAGCACTTTAAAATGCTTAGATATTATGTATTCTTGCCAGTTATATAGACTTGTTTTGCTGCATGAAATTCATGAAAACTGAAGTATGTTAAATTTACACAAATCTTTTCTGCATTGCTAATTGGGCACACATGTTCTAAGTGCAAAGGGGCACTGAGAAAGAAGTGTGAATGCATCTGTGCAAGTCTGTTTTCTATCACTGAAAGACCATCAAGACCAACAATGGTGTGTTTTCACAGGCATTATTATCTTAAGTACTTTGAACTGGGGGTTATGAAGATTTTTATTGATTTTCAATATTAATAATATATTAAAACATTTCCTTTTCCCTCCCAAATTGAAAATTTACAAACTCTCTCTGATGATGCTTGATACTATGGCAATAATGTTGAAAATAGCATTTGAATTTTACTCACTAATTCAAGAAAAATTTCATCATATTCTTGTAATGCCTCAAAGATAAAGTTTTCATCTTTAAAGAGATCAGTACTCCCGATCAGATTTTGTTTTTTATGTATACATATCTAAAAACCACTCTAAATGAACAACTTGAAGTATGAAAGGTATTATGTGAGATTATGTAAAACAGCCCTTGAAAACAATGCTATTGTTTTATAAAATGACATGAACAGCTTATAAAAATATCACCCATAGCTGTCAAAATAAAATTGAACATGTGATACAACTGCAAAAGACACGAAATTCTGTTCTTATTTCATTGGTGCCTACACAATAGGATTAGTATTAAAGAAAGAAAAATCATAGCATATTGATACATAGGAAAATTAGTTTTAATTGCTAAATGCAATAAGACACAGACTGAAAACATGAATAACTAGAATGTAAAGGTCTAATACATATTATTTTTGTTCTATGCTACAAAAGACTTGATTATGCAATGCAGCTAATTAATCACTGATAGAAAAAAATATTAATACATATCTAAAACTTTATCATACAAACGTTTCAAGCAGGATCACTGCAAGTCAGAAAAGATCAAAGTTAATGACAAAGAATTATTCATGGAAGATCAAATAGCTTAATGTTTATTTTTCAAGAATGCATGTTCCTTTTGACTACAGAGTAGCTCCTTTACTAATAGCAAAGTACAATTCGATTATGAAATTTGGCAAGCTAATTAAATATTTCCATGTGAAAAGGCAGAAGAAAGAACATAAAGTAGATTTCTACTTTGCTTTCCTAGAACATTTAGCTCACCCTTTCTTGCAACATGGTTTCTTGCTCTCTGGGGAAGAATTAGGCAGTAGAGCAAGTGATGCTATGGTGAGCATCAGGACCATGTTGGCCATATCACATGGTCAGAAAGGGAAGGAGTTAACTGCAACAGAAGTTAGAGTGCCTGACACACTTTGCTTTTAAATGCTGACATGCAGAACAAAACGATTGAAAATTATTTTGTAGGAGCATTCACAGCTAGGTAACAAATAAAACTCGTATCTTGTGCATGCTAGGAGTGAAAGGCCCTCAAGAAAAGGAACAAAAGCCAAACTCAAAAGGAAAGGAAAAGAAAAGAAAAGTTACAGTGACCATTCCTGGAAACTTACTCAGAGTCTTTGTTCCATAACCGTCGTCACCTAATCCGGGGATGTCCTGCATGGAAGTCCCCAGAGAGAGCAATGAGAGAGGAAGAACAGCCACGGAAGAGGAAGGAAGAAGTCAGTGGAGTTGAAATGGATACTACCATGACAGACCGTGTTGCCTAAACAATCTGGATCCCACTCTGTGCTTTTAAAACAACTTTTACCCCAAACTCCCTGGGCTGAGACTTAGGGCAGAAATTGCTGATTTGGAAAGCAACTCCAAAGGTATAAGCAGAAGTCTGAAAACATAAAAAGAGGGAGAAAAAAAAAAGATCTGGCAAATGCCATCCGTTAATATTGCCACAGAAATGTGCCTCTTAGAGGGACGATCCCCTCCATGTTTCATATCAGATTCTGAGACTTAGTGTCCACCAATACATGCTCACTGCTGAGAGAGTATTTAATATTTACTGGAAGGGAAAGAGGGAGCCAATATGCCAGAATCAATAAAAGTAATTTAATTGCTCCCAGTTAGTGAGCGTTTCAAAAAGTTTCTGCAGCAATGGAACCCAATCTTTCTGCCCAGAAGGGAAATCAGTCTCAAGCCCTTACATGAGAGAAAAAGGCAAATCATACCCATTTCTGGTCAAAAAAGGCTGGTTAGATGTGAAGTCCCAGTTTCCATATCTCCCTTGCCAAAGCATTCTACAAAGAAGAGCCACAGGAAGGGAAGGATCCAGACTGCAGTCAAACACTGGTCACAGTAGTAAGACCTGACCTGCCTGCCTGCTGTGTCGTTTGCCTAGCGTGTGGCGTGGGAGAGCCTACATCATGCGTGTTGCCCGTGAAGGATTTTTTTTTTCCTCTTGTGTTGCATGTGACATTATCTTGGAGAATCTACTTACGTTCAGGATCACTGGTTTCCTGCTCACTCTGCTCCTTGTTCTTGTAGAATGGGAATTTTCGTGAAAAGATGAAGCTCTTTTTACGCTTGTCATTGAATGACTGTGAAGGAGAAAAGGCATGGGGCAAAAACAGGGGACGTCTAATTGTTGTCACACTCATGCTGACAAAACAACTAGTTTGTAAAAGCAGAGACAGCTGTAGTGACGCAAGTGGAGATTCCACAGAGGTGCCATGGTGTTCTAAAGGCAGATTTTCTTTTCAAGGAGTGTAAATTCTGAATGATGACACCTTGGAAAAATCGCCTCATGATCAAAAGCCTGCTCAGAGATAAACGGTGATGGAGGGAGTGAGTATTCAATTGGAAGACCCAGAGTCTTTGGCTCTGTATCTTGCTAGTCCATCACCTCTGACAAGGAACTGAATCTCTCTGAACCTCAGTATCTTCATCTGTAAAAGGTGATGAAGATACTGGGATGTGAGACTTGTACAAGACAATAATGTAAACAAATAGAGCTAGGAAAATGGCATCTTACCATCAGGTGGAAAAGACTATTAGAGAAACTAGTTTTCTTCTCTGTGTCTAGTTACCCTTATTTTTATTTTTTGAATTTTGAGTTACTTCAGCTTGAATTTAATTCAAGTATACAGAGAAGAATGTAGATTTATGATATATGATAATTATAGTCTCACACACAGATATCTGATAATTATAGCATTTCTATTCAGATGATAACTTAAAGATAAGTTAAGGAGCCAGGGCACAAAGAGGTTGAGTCCCATGCCAATATCACAGAACCAGTTGGTGACAGTCAGGAGACAGTCAACCAAAAGCTGTTAAAATTGCTGCTAAATTGGCATTAACTTGATATTCACTCAGCCAAGGGGAAGTGACAGTCACTCATCTACATTCCGATAAGATAAAAATAATGTAGAATGACTGTCTTTTTAATGTGTAAACTCCTCCATTAGCTTAAATGAGGTCAAGTTAAAAATAACACCTACATACATAATATTGAAATTATTCATTCCAGTGACTATGCTGTAGTCATCTGAAATACTTAAGAAAATTCCATTTATTCCACCATTGCTGATATTTACATGAATGCTTTGAGGGGTTCTTCTTTGGGAAATGTGTTCACGATCATTTTTCAAGCTATAAGCCCTGTAAGTCTTATTAATTTTATATTCATATGTCATTGAAAATGTTTCACCAGCCTGATTACCATCCTGATTTGATTGCTTTGGTACTGAGAGCCTATTCACTTCATAAGAAAGTTATAATCACTCCCTACACAGGTTTTAAAATCCATGTGCTGATGGCTCTAAAGGACTCTCTAAAGGGTATTCTCAAACAGTGTTAGTGTGGTAGCAATGACAGTTGGGGGGAATAAGTGCAGAGCAAGCAGGGAGCCTTGGAAGAAAGGAGCCTTGCTTGGAAGTATGCACTTTCTCCCATTGGTTGGACACTGTCAAGGGCTCTTTAATTTGAAGCTTGATGAAATTGTGCAAATGACTTACTCTCTTTGTGTATTCATGCACTCTTATATCAAATATCCATTTTGGCATTGAGAAAGCATTAAGGTACTAAAATGTTAGTGCTGTCATTCAGTAAGTTATTTTTACTTTTTTAGGTACTAGGAATTCGCCAAAGTCAACTGAGCTTAATTTTATGTCACATTAGGAAGGTTTTGTGAAAAACAACAAAATATTTAATAATTTACGAAGTCAGGGGACAAATTTTACACTTCATGTGAAAGAGCTAAGGAAAAAAAACTTACTTCAGAAGTTATTACTCTGCTGACAGCACCTGTGTTCAGTATAGTTTTATCATAATTTGTAATTGAAGATTAGTGTCCAAAGACTAGGTTGGGAATAGCCCCCAAGTTTTCCCAGGTAAGAATGATAAACCTTAAAGGAACATTAAATATTCTTGCATCACTACAGTTTCATGCCACTTTTACATTTCAAGCATATTTAAACTTCGATAACTGAAAATAAAAGAAAAAAAATATGTAAGTAATGGTATGTGATATTTGCAAGGCATGTTAGACATTTATCTTCAACAGCACAGATGACTTTTCATGCAAAAGTTATGAATTTTCATGCAAATACAAAACAATGCCAAGAGGAGGAAAGCTTGGGGTGATAACATACAAACAGATGTATAAAGTATAGGCCATTGGGGCCTAAAATGGGATTGCATGCAAACCATATTAAATTGTCTAAAGGGTCAAAGGAAAGTGAAATGGTGTTGTCTGTGATTAATTCTTTTATGTTTCAAAGCAAGGACTGTAATGTGTTAACATTTCCCAAGTATGAAAATGTTGTGTGTTCATGAGTTATCTGATTGGGACATAATACTTAGCACCACACTTTTTAAGAGAACAGAAAAGTACATAATACCTCAGAAATTATCTAACATAGTCTTATTAGCAAATGCCATTTTGCATTTGAATTAAAGAGAAGGTAACGAAATTATTTGGGTTACATTTCCTCACATTATGGACACAAAACCAAATCACAATTTTAGCTCACACAGAGTTAAAAAGTCATGTTTAGGGTCTTAAACATTTCAACTATAAAAGACTATGTGGTTTATAATGCTCTAATATTATTCTTTATTTTATTAGGTATAAGACCATTATGGAAGCTTTTTGTTGCTGCAATTGGTTTTTTAATATAGAAGGAAAATTTGCAACAAGAGTGCTTAGGTGAAAGTAATAAATTAGCAAGCACTTTTGCTATTTATAGAATGCATGATTCTAAAGTAACTGAAGGCCAGTTTACAGCTTTCTTCATAATCATACTTGATCAATGCTGTTCTTCCTACATTACAGCATCTTCAATCATGCTCTATCGCTTTCATGGCAGGAAATGTCTTTGAAGAGAGACTTCAAAAATACTAATTAAATGTGTAAGCTGGCATATGTTAAGAATTCTTCTTTGGAATTTGACCTAAATTACTGTGTTCTTATGAGTTAAAATGATAAAATAATACCTAACATTTATTGAGCACTATGTGTCAGGCTTGGTCCTAAATGCTCTATCTGCTAATTTCATGAATTTTCATGCTTGCCCAAAGTCACACAGATAGTAAGTAGTGAAGTCAGAAAATGCATTTGCAAATATTCCTGGTTGCAAATATTGTTGTTCTTATGAGCACAAGACATTTCTGCCACCTTAGCCTGCTTCAGGTTTATAATTAAAATTATTGGCATTTAAGTGATATTGCAATCTGTCTAAATCTAAATCTTCACTGCTTAAGAGACTACTTAAGCCATCAGACACTACTGAATTCACTAGATCTTTTGATCATGCTGCTACAATTTTCTGGATACCTATTCACATTTTTGAAGGCTTTATCACATTCTTTAATTCTTATGATAATGAGAAAAAAAATTCAGTGGTACAGGTCATGCATGGCAATTTAAAGAAAATTTGACAGGCAAATCTATAGCAAAAAGTAAATTGGTGGTTGCTTAGGGCTGGGGGTACAGGGAGCAGAGAGTGGAAACTGACGGGAATGGGGTTTCTTTTAGGGGAGATAAAAATGTTCTAAAATTATATTGTGGTGATGGTTGTAGAATCCTATACATACGCTAAAGCACACTGAATTGTATACTTTGAGTGGGTGGACAGTATCCTATGTGAATTACATCTCAATAACTCCATTTTAAGGAAAAGAACCCCTCCCCAACCCCACACCATGAGATGAAAGGAAACAATGAGTAGGTTTTCTCATTTTATTTGATGTAAATAGTTTAAAATCTTTAATTGAGTGAGAAGAAACCATCCTTTCTAACCCTTGAAATCAGGCAGCGGATGTCTTTTGTTTATCTGATTTTGTTTTATCTCAGTTAAATGAATACCCTTCATGTTGTGACAGACATTAGAATACCGGCACCCTATCACTGTCTCTCAGAAGTTGCCAGTTTTTAGGCCAAATAGCATGAAATTGCCCATCCTGACACCAAGATGTAAGGCATTGGTGAGATGGCTTAAGATAAAACACATGCTCCATGAAGAAAGAAAACAAGACAAAAAAAATCACTCTTTTTTCCACTAAAATTCCACACCCTTCAGGACACATGAGTAGATCTTGACATATATCCTTTCATACAGAAAACTTCAAAACTAGGAATACGATCAGTTTTTCTTCTCATCTGCCTGTCCTAATTTCTCAAGCTTCAAGTATTTCATAGTTCTAAAGTGTCACCTTTGTGATAATGTGTTCTGGTGAAATTTGAATTTAAATTTATACTGAGCTCAAATAAACTTTTTCTGCAGCCACCTTATTTCATTTTTTATAAAGACTTTTTTCCATTTAATGGTGTTCTCTTGGGAAAATTTTTACTATAAATTTGGGCAACCACCTTATATTACATATCTTATTTTCATACACATTCAAAGAGTTTTAAAACAAGAGCTGGGCATGTTGGCACATGTCTGTAATCCCAATGGCTCAGGAGGCTGAGGCAGGATGATCTCAAGTTCAAAGTCAGCCTCAGCATCTTAGCGAGGTCCTAAACAATTCAGTGAGACCCCGTCTCTAAATAAATTATATAAAAGGACTGGGGATATAACTCAGTGGTTAAGCACCCTTGGGCTTAATCCCTAGTACTGAAAAACAAAAAAACAAAATGAAAATGAGAACAACAGATCCCTATGACTGACATTAGTGGACTTGTCGTGGTGGCAAACAGTTTATTATTCATGGAAATGTGGTAGCTGATCTTCTTGGACCTCAAAATATAAAATTCAACTTAACTTTTGTTTCCTTTCCAAGAAAACAATTTTATCAGGATCCAACCATTCTAAAACGATTCTGAAAAATGAAATCCCAGGTGAGTCCCTCACCCCTGTTTTTTTAAAAAATTTTTTCTACTTACATTATTTCTGGGACAGGTTATGCTAAATAAAACTTTATTACTTTGCAGTCCAAGTTGAGGCTTTATTTCAGTTGAAGAGATGAGGTAGCCAAGAGGCTCTACAGAAGCGAGCTTGGAATCGTAAAGTTGTTGCTGAAACTTATGCTGGACTTTATGGTCACTCATATGCGCAGCAGGTAGAGTGTTTTCTTAATTTTGAGGTCCAAGACA